CTAAGTCTAGTGCCCTTTTCACTTCTCAGGAAGAAATTCTAGACAGAAGAGTCCTGCAGCATGATCCACATCTGTGTTCTGTGGTAGATGGCAACTCCTAGGGCATGTGTCAGAGTCTTAACCTGCTCTCACCCTAGGGTAACTATTTGTACAGTCCTGATGGGAAAGTGTATACAGGGTGAGAGGCATGGTGAGCTTCTAGGCCTGCTGTGAGGATCAAAATCCGCCCTCAACCTACTAGACCCTCCTTCCACACTGTTCCCCCAGTCCTGAAGATCCTGAGATCCTCCCAGCCACTTTATGGGAGAAGCGCAAAGAAGGTTCACCTCACCTTTCTCTGGATATCATGGAAATGGACAGAACCTCCAAGCCCCAGGAGGAGCTCTGGCTAGATTTCAAGACTAGAATGAGTTTGTAAGGAAGGCCAAAGCCTTTTGGACCTGAGGGTCTGTTGGGCATTAGAAGTCTGTAATTCCATGTCCTAGGAAATTCTTTGATGGCTACAGCATTCCAGTGTGGACAGGCCTGGATGTGAGTAAAGCCTTTAACAGGAGTCACCTGGGCATTGGTCCACAGGTGGTAAGTTAGTGGTGATTCATGGCAAATGTAGATTTTCTCAATTCCAGCAATTTTTCTAGTGAAGACTTGCCCACTGATACAAATTGGCCCCTTTTTAATGGAATGGTTTGCTTGACTTTTCTTTGCCAGAGCAAGCCAAGCTGGGACTCGTTGTCCAGGCATCCTAGGACTCATTTTTCACTAAAGAAGATCTGTGTGAAAAGATGATTATTTTATTAATTAGGGTGGATGAAAGAGAGGGTTGAAACCCTGATCTCCAGTACCTTGGCATACCAGATGAGTGGCCATCTCATTCTTGAATGGCTTTGTAGGCTCTGAATCTAAGAGTAAAACAAAGGAGGAAAAAAATCCCACCTTAATTAACTTTCTTCCAAACTTTCATTAAGAAAATTTCAGAGTCTAGGTGGAAGCCTTTTCCCAGTTTTCCTTTTTCAAAGCTACTTCAGAAAAGTCTCCTTTAGACAGTGTTGAAGTTTATAAACCCTGCAGCTAAAATGTGTGTTGTGCAATTTCTAGAGGAGAGGCAATGTGGGATAGTTGAGGAGATCCTGGGCCAGGAGTCCAAGGCCTTGGCCTCTCATCCAGGCTTTGCTACATATACACTATGTGACTTAGATCAAGTCTCCTCACCTCTCTGAACATCGGTCTTTGCAAAGGTAGATAAGAATGATAGTACCTGACCTATGCACCTAAGAAAGTAGTTATGAGAGTCAAGTAAGATAATGGTTGTGAATGTTTTGTAAATCACCACTGAAGGTGGTATTGCAATAGAAGGAAAGAATCAGATCTGTGTTCCAGTTTTTAAATAAGCATCTTCTGTGAACCATTCTCGTTGCCTATAGAGTGGAGCATGTAAAACTGACTATTATCAGAGAAAAGCTTTAAGCTGTGACAGAAGATGTAGGTTCGAATCCAGTTGCTACTAACTTACTCTATAATTTAGGCAAATAATTACCCAAGTCTCAGTTTCTTCATAAAACGAGGATAATATTTCCCTCATTTTCCCCATTTGAAAAATGGGAATAGTTGCCCTGTTTTCTTCCCCTAGAAATTGAGATGGTAATAATAGCCCATCTACTCTCCTCAGCAGTGAAATAGCTGGGTTGCTTTACCCATTTGCTTGCAACATACACTTGACATATTTCACAGGATTTCAAGCTTCCAAAAAAAGAGATATATTAAATTGCTCTTTGCAGATAAATTCTAGATTGATGTCAGACATCTTACATTTGATAAACATCTATGGAGTCTCTACTATGTGACACTTCACAGGTGAGGGGAAGCAATATAGTTTCTATTCTCATGGAGCTTACAGTCTAGTGGGGGAGGTAAATATTAATCAAGTAATTACACTAAAAATTGATATAGTAGGCATTACTCTTGAGTAAAAGTAATGTAAATCTTTCACCTCCAGAACATAGCTGTACTGTGAATGACATTCCTCCTCCTGCAGAAGTTCCAGAAGCTACTAAGGCGGAGGAAATATTACTTGATTCTGGTTTTCTAGGTAGCAGCTTCCTAGAATCTGGAAGAGGCATTCCTTTCCTTCCTGTTTCCTAGCATAAATCAATTATTTTTAGCTTTTGCTTTTGTAATTTTAATTTGGTCAAAATTAATATTGTTGGAGGGAAGGGAAAAGCCCAATTTTTATAAAATGAAGATTCTTGTCTCAATGATAACCTATTGAGACTCTCATCATCACTCCAGCAGCTCCATGGGAAGACATGTTATCCAAGAATGCTGTAGGAGGAGGCAAGAAGTGGTCAGATCCTGCAACGGGCGGTTGGTGTTGCACATCCCACCTTTCAGCAGCTCCCTCCACCTGGAACCAGGGAAAGAACACGTACTCTAGAAATGTCATCAGAGTGTAAGCCAGGGAATAGAAGTGCTTTCTGATTCCCAGTGCAAAATTTGTTTTCCAAGATCCCTTAGTGGAACATTAATAATCTTTATTCTTGAGAATATGAGATGTTGTTAATAACATCCATTCCCACTTCCCCCTTGCGGCAGCCATTCCTGGCTCTGAGAAACACCTAGTTGTTCCCCAACCTCCCTTTCAGCACCTTAAAGACCAAAGTCAAACCTTGTTTTTCTCCTGCAATGGTTGCTTTTTTAACCTCTCAAGCTAGTTTTTTAACTCTAGTTGTATTGCTCTCTTCTTGGTTGGCTTTGAGATGCCCTACAGATCACTCTTCTGATAAATACCTGCTAGGCAAGGAATTAACTATGATCTTTCAACACTTGTTTTCAGTTCCCAGCAGCACAATTAGTTTGCCATTTGAAGGGTCACTTGACAGGGTGAGTGTGTCTTGAGTCCTGGGATACTAGTGCCTTTTAGTCTCCACTAACCCAACATTCATGCAAAGCACATATGTGGACTGTCTAGACCCCTCCCTCTCCCATTACTCTCCTCACGCTGCAATTCTTTAGTTTGAAAAGGGGCAGCTTATTTTGCTTCCCAGAGAAATAGGACATTATTGTTTTTAGAATGTAAATATTCTCTTCCCTTTCACCTGAAATGGCCTGGGATTAAAAATTAAATTTTGGTTTAGAAGTGAGTTTCAGGACTGGATTGAGGCTGAGTTATGGCTGAGGTCTGAAAGACTGTTCTTGAAAGCTGAGCGTAAAATCCGATACTCTGCATCTCATTAGCCCAGCACTAGTTTCAAACACTAGGGAGATATGGTGAGAATCTGAGATGTCCTCAGAATACCGTCAAATCCAACTGGATTCATAATACTTCATCCAGCTCTGCATTTCTACCTGGATCCATCTAGCTTCTGCTTCCTGCCTCAGGCCTTTTTTTAGTGGTGCAGCTAGAGTGAGGCTCGAAGGGAGTTTTCAAAGCACTTGTTAATGGACCCTGATCCCATCTTGAATCATAAGAAGTAGACAAAAAAGCTTGAGAAGGAGCATGTCAGTTTCCTCCCCCACACTCCTACTCCTCCCCTGCCCAGTACACAGATTGCAGTAGCCAACCATTCTGTCCTTGCTGCTGGCCCCACCTCTCTGGAGAAGCCTAGCTTCTTGCTTGCAGAAGCGGATTAGTGGAAAGAGCACTGGATTAAGCATCAGGAGACTGATTTCTAAATCCAATTTTACCTGTCAGTAGCTGTGGAATTTGGAGAAAGCCACTTAACCCCTCTTAGTTTCTTAGTTTGTAAAATGGAGGAATACCTAGGTCCTGGCTGGGTGCTCAGTTGGTTAAAGCATCTTTCTGGTAAGCCAAGGTTTCAGGTTCAATCCCCAGTCAAGAAGCAACCAGTGAATGCAGTAGTAAGTAGAACTTACTAGTCTCTCCTTTTTTTTCTCTCTCTCTCAACTCAATAAATTAAAAAAAAAAAATTTAAACAACAAAAGCCTGTTTACTTTATAAAAAAATAAAATAAAATAGAGAAATACCCGCCTTTCTTCCTCTTCCTGAGTTTCATAAAGTGGTTGTGAGGGTCACATGAAAGTGTGGAGAATGACCTTTGGAGGAATATAGGGCTGAGACTCTGCATGGATTGCACTCCTATAAACCACTTCCAAACGACTAGGACTGGTTTTTTGGTTTTTGTTTGTTTTTAAAAAATATATCTTTATTGATTGCAGAGAGAGAAAGGGAGAGGGAGAGAGATAGAAACATCAACGATGAGAGCCATTGATCGGCTGCCTCCTGCACGCCCCTTACTGGGGATGGAGCCCGCAACCCAATCATGTGCCCTGACCAGAAATAGAACCACCATCTCCCGGATCATAGGTCAACGCTCAACCTCTGAGCCACCCGGGCGGGGCAGGGCTGTTTTTATAGGATTATTTCCTGTTTCTCATCAAGGGTGGGGCTATGGTGTCTAAGGTAGAGGCCAGCCTCTAGAAATGCTGTCCATGCTCCTGGGTCTAGAAAACTCCCAGTCATGAGATGTGAGCACAGTCTGTCCCTTTGCCTCACTTTTTAAGCTAACTGGCAACTTATCTCTGAGAACAGCCCACATTTGCAACCCTGCTGTTTCCATCCAGTCTTAAAACTTTTGTCACCTTAGTTGGACCATGTGCATCCCAGTCAGAGGGCCCTGAGGTTCAATACCTGCGCCAGCACTTATTACTGTGTGGATATGGGCAATGTACTTGGTGCACTTGGTATCTCTAAGACTCAGTTTTCTCCTCTGTAACATGGGAGAAATATCTGACTCCATAGGCTTATCTTAAGGGTTAAAGAAGACATGTAGAGTACCGGACAATGTTCCCGGTCTCTCACTGCCTGTTGTCTTCCTCCCCTGCTTCTAAGAAGAATTATTGCTAGACATACCTGCCTGAAGGTGATTCACAAAACCCAAAGGTGTTTCAGAATCATATCAGAGATGAGAATACCCCTGCAAATGCTGGTCCTGCCACCTGGGCTGATGCTACTGTCTCCCCGGTACCTTTGGTGTCTCATGCAGGGAACATCATTGGCTCTGGAATCTTCGTCTCGCCGAAGGGTGTGCTGGAGAATGCCGGCTCCGTGGGCCTCGCTCTTATCATCTGGATCGTAACGGGTCTCATTACAGCTGTGGGAGCCCTTTGCTATGCTGAACTCGGGGTTACCATCCCCAAATCTGGAGGTGACTACTCCTACGTCAAGGATATCTTTGGAGGATTGGCTGGGTAAGAGGCTCTGCGGAGACCCGAGTGGTCTAGGAAACTGAGGCTGGGGGTTTCCAATGTGCGGAGGGGAGAATGGGATTCCTCTTTTGCCTCCATGTCATGCTTGCTAGTGAAGCTCTGATGTGTCCCTTTCATGCTCCTGACAGTGACAGAGGAACCAAGCTGTATTTTAAATCTCTGTTGACTCTTAGTGGGCAAGAGTCTGTGAGTGAGAAAAAATATGATAACTCTGACTGGAGATTTCTAGGGAAAGCACTTCACAAAACAAAGCCCTTTTATCTTGACAAATGAGAGTGACCACCTAAGAGACAGAGGTACTATTCTCATATGACCAAGGATAATGGCCTCCCTCTAGAGCCAGGCTCTGATCTTGAATTTCTTCAGCTTCTGCAGCCCTGCTACTGAAGAAACTCAACCCTCACCAATGGGCCCAAGGCTGTGGAGGGCACTTCTCCCGTAGCACCCGCCCAATGCCTCCCCTGGCAGTTGCTTAAGTCGTCACATCTTTAGCATGTCCTGGCTTTTAAAATTCTGAGGTTGCAAATTTTTTTCTTTTCTTTTTAATCCTCACCCGAGGATATTTTTTCCATTGCTTTTTCAGAGAGAGTGGGAGGGGAGGGAGAGAAACACTGATATGAGAGATTCATCGATTGGTTGCCTCCCACAGGCGCCCCAACAGGGGCTTGGGATCGAGCCTGCAACCGAGGTATGTGCCCTTGGCAAGAATCAAACCTGGGACCCTTCAGTACAAGGGTCAATGCTCTAACCACTGAACAAAACCGCCTAGGGCCTGAGGTTGCAAATTTTATTTTTCACCATTGGATACTGGGGGCCAGAATGGTAAAGAAGAGATAATGAGCTCTTGGGGTCTGACCTGGTTTGCAGCAAGATCGCTAAATTCACCAAAAAGGTGGGAATTGTTGGTAAATACAGAACCCATTATGGCACCTCCCTCAGGAAAATGGTGAAGAAAATTGAAATCAGCCAGCACGCCAAGTACAGTTGCTCCTTCTGTGGCAAAACCAAGATGAAGAGACGAGCTCTGGGGATCTGCCACTGTGGTTCCTGCATGAAAACAGTAGCTGGTGGCACCTGGACCCACACCACTTCTGCTGTCACAGTAAAGTCAGCCATCAGAAGACTGAAGGAATTGAAAGACCAGTAGAAGTTCCACATTTTGAAACATTGCTAGCCTATAATAAATGGGTTAATTTATATAACAACAACAAAAAAGGAGAGATAATGAAAGGAAAGGGAAGAGCGAGAGAATGCCAAGACATGTGTTAGTACTAGTTGAAACTTAACTCTTCATCATTAAACCATTTTATTGTTATTGCAGAGGGCTGGGTGTCCCGTTTCCGGGGGACTGGGCTCTTCAGCATCTTGGAAACAAAAAGGAAATGCATCTCTTTAGCCCACCTGCCCCTCCTAATGCTGCCCAGTGACTTGCCCAGGCTGCCCCTGATGACTTCTGAATACCTGCCAAGCCTTTAGTGGGGGTGGGGGTCTCCAATGCTGTCTTGGGTCAAGTCTTGTCCTGTTCCCCCTTCAGGTTCCTGAGGCTGTGGATTGCTGTGCTGGTGATTTACCCCACGAACCAGGCTGTCATCGCCCTCACCTTCTCCAACTACGTGCTACAACCACTCTTCCCCACCTGCTTTCCCCCAGAGTTTGGCCTCCGACTCCTGGCTGCCATCTGCCTATGTAAGTGCCATCTGCGCCTTGCTTTCAGGGCGGCCTCTTCTAGCCTTCCTGGTGGTCTCCATGTCTCTGCCTCTTCCTCTCCCTCTTTCTTTTCTTCCTTTTAATTTTTCCCCCCACTTTCCCCCCCCCATTTCCTACGTGTGTGCTTTGTATGAATGAATTCCGCATATAATTACCTGGTGTTAAAAAAAGAAGAAATTTAAGTAGCTGCTCAAAGGCACAGTAATTTTCATTGGCAGGGCTCTTTATACAAAGCACTTTCACTTACATGATCTGATTTGAGCAAATAACAAGTCCAGGAGCTGAGTTGGGCAGTATTATAATTTTCCTAGTACCGATGAGGAAATGGTGCCAAGCAGTGACTTACCCAAGATGGCAGGCCCTGAGTGGAGCCCTGGTCTCCTGATTCCTTCTCTTCCCAGCACACACATTGTTCTGGAGGCTCCTGCTGCTTTTTCTGGCACTGTCCATCTCTACCTCAATCTGCCAGCTCACATCTTAAAACTCTTTGGAAGGAGAGTTTAGAGGTGTGAGTTGGGGGAAAATAAATGGTTTGTGGCCTCTTGATAAGTTTTCTGTCTAACTGGGGAGAAAAGCCATATAAACAGATTCTGTGGTTAGGATTCAATTGCAGTAAAAATTCAAAAAAGGGAGAAAGGTTTCTGTGAGCTGGAACAGAAGTTCTGCAACCTACATTTCTAGGAAGTCTCAACATTTAGTCTCTGATATTGGGAATCTCAATGGATTGGGGTATTTTACATCTTTCAACCAAAATCTAATTTATACAGTAAATATTTGGATCTTTCAGAAGCTCCACTTCTAGAGTTAGCTCAGCCTCTGCATTCCCACACCTTCCAACACACATACACTCAGCTGGGGGTAGTGACCTCCCCGGCCATACCCTTTCCTATGTGTTGACACTTTCCTTCTGTCATGCTGGTGGAATGGGGCAGGAGGGCTATCTCACCTATCCCGAAGCCTCTCACAGGACAGCCAGCTGGGCCCCAAGGGGTGGTCTCCTTGGTAAGTATGCCCTCTTTGTCAGCGATGTTCAGCCCTGGGATAGACCCCTACCATCCAGGCAAGTGGTACTCTGGGCCAACACAGTTGTTTGGTCAGGCCTGCTTATGGATCTAGAGAGGATCATGGGTTCCAGAACCAGGCTGCTGGAGACTGCATCTCTGTACCACTTTCTAATTGCTGTGAGTGCTTGGCAAAGTAATCCACCCCACCCCGCACAGGAGGGTGTGGTTGCGAGGATTGCACAAGACACTTGGGCACCTTGTAGCCCAGTCATTAGTCAGTGGAGATGGCCAGTGAGGGTGATCATATGGTCCTTGCTTGCTAGCTGGATTTAGAGATATTGAAGGTGGGGGAGGGGAAGAGAATGTGGGAATGCAGGAAGAGCTGCTCTTTCTACTAACAGACAGGCTAATGAGGGTTAGGAAGACCACATGAGTGCTGACCACTGCTATTTCAGTGTCTCGTGCACACAGACATGGCTTGGATTTTCCTGCTGATGCTGCTAAAGTGTCTGAGATGAGGCTGCCCTTACCCTCCAACTAGAAATTCAGAATCTCGAGGCTGTTCAATACATCCCCTAGGAAAAAAACCAGGGGGTAGTTCTCTGGGCAGCTGGACCCCACAGCTTCCTTTGCATTCCCCAAATCCACCAAGGGTAGATGACATCTTAAATAAAGACCTTCTGGAGTAGTATAGCCTAGCAGATATCCCCTCGGGCCAGAGAAGTACAAACCCTCCCGAGAGATGAAGATTGCTCCTGCCTATAGCCCAGTTCCAGAAAGACAGGTTGTACTTGGTCCCTTCGGCAGCCCACACCTCACCTGGACACTGCTAGCACCAAGCCAGGAGGAATTTAAAAACTCTAATGACAAAAATGATAAGATCCTTCCCTCTCCTGATTCCTGACATCAAAGGTTTAAGAAAGCTTATCTGACCTGTCCCTGCCTTCTAAGCAGAACTGCAAAGAACAGCTTAACAGTGGTCAGTCTTACCCTCAAGAGATAGGAATTTCTCAATGTCCTCAAGATACGTGTTCAAATAATTTTCCACCTTCATAAGAAGAAAAATGTTCTTAAACCCAAACTTATTCTCTCTTATTTTCTTGGAGGAAATGCAGAACAGCTCCTCACTTCATCTCCAAGCTACCCCATCCTCCCAGATATAAAGGCCATGTGGAGTCCCCCAGCTCCTCTCTGCACATGGGTGCACATGTGGGCATAGGCACACACCCACACTTCCTCACCAGATACTCCCAGATACTTTGAGTCTCTGTGTGTAAAGGTTCCGTTTTCTGGATCATTGAATACTTTTTTTTTTGTTTTTTTGGAGGCCACTTTTACAGGCCCCTCAAATCATCTCTTAAGCTATCCAGTAAAATAAGTCAGAACCAGGCTGTCGGGAAGGCTTGGTGGATGCTATCTTTCATTAAATGCTGGTATCTTTTATTCCAGCACCCCTCCCACCACCATCCAGCCCTACCGCATCCCCTTAGCAAGTGCCAGGCTAGCCAGCCGTGTAGAATAGGCCCAGTGTTCCTTGGCAGTAGAGCCCAGATTGGCCCAGTCCAGCCATATTTTTAAGAGAAGCACTAGAGAGCTTGGGGATGGTCTGAATGTACTGATACAAGAAGCTCTGCTTTCTGCTGTGTCATTTTGGCCTGCTGGTGTGTAACAGAGGGCGTGGGGTTGAGGGGGCTTGAGGACAGGGCAGGAATGCAGCAGGGAGAACCAGTGCGGCAAAGCCCCTGGCTGGGGTTTGCTGTGGGAGAGAGGAGAGGAGATCAAATCTGGTTCCATGGGGTGTTTTTAAAATAGAGCAGATGAAAAATGATGGTAGACAAACCAGATGGGGGCGGAGAGGCAGAAAGAACCTGCTGTAACTGGCTTTCCTGCTCAGAGTCCGGAGGGGGTGGGGAGGAGAGGAGGGGGGGAGAGAGGGAACTGAGGATTTGGATCACGCTTATGCAACTGCAGCTGCCACTTTGAGTTATTTTATGATTTAGGTCAAAGCTGATTATTCACTGCTGAGTCAGCAGAATATTCCTAGCCACCAGCCAGTAAAAAAAGAATTTTACGTTTTAATTAAATGAAAAACCTTTCTCCCTTTTCCAGAGCAGGCACATTAGTGGGAGGAAGGAGTCAGGAAGGAGGGAAACAGGAGGTGTTAAAACTGTTTTGGTGCCTTCTTTTGTGATTTGCTTGAGGGTTTTTTTCTTTCTTTTTTTTTTATTTTTTAGCATTTCATAAGTAAATAGCTATATTTTCTTGATAAAAAATGTTCCCCTTATCTTCACCCCTCTCTCCTGCCCTGGTAACAATGGATAGGTATCCTTGGGGTTCTACATAAAATGCCTCTATCAATGTATGCATCTGGGTATATAGAAATCCATAGTCATAGGTTATTTCTGCTGCTTGCTCTTTTATCATGTATCTGCATCTTTTAGCTATTTCCTGAGATTCCGGTTATAAACAAAGTGGTCCCAGCGACACAAAGTAGCACAGGTGTTCTGGGGTCCCCCCATTTGAGCTTCTTGCTTCCTAACACTGGGTTTTCCTTTAGGATCTCTTTGTCCCCCCTCTCTTAGGAACCAGGCCACCTTTCACTCAAGCAGTTTCATGGCCTCCTTCCTCTCTTTTGGGACTGAAGTCATGTCCAGTATCTGAAGTAGATTTTTTTTCTTCTTGTTCAAGTTCTTCTCTTCTCCCTAATGCCTTGTACTAAAGAAGCTCCTTCTCATTTCTCCCCCTGAGGAGAACAAAGTATCCTGCATGCATTTCACAAGTAAAAATGCTTTTTATCTTGTTTTCTAGCTCTCTACTGAAATTCCTAATAGATTAGTTTTCCAGGGCTTCAGATTTTTTTCTTCTTAAGGACTTCACTGTATGCATTACTTTTAGCCCTGAGTTGTTCTGCAATTCCTCTACAGGAAGAGTAGGTGACTCTTCAAGAAAGTTTCCAGGAGTTTGATGCAAAATACTGTGATAGATAAACATGTGTGTGTTGGTTTGCACGTCTCTTGCAAATTAATCCCTTGACATCAGAGGATTCAACAGTTTTTCCTACTGTTTAAATCCCTTCATCTCAGTTCATTTTCCTTTGAGGCTTCACATTCTGGAGACCCAAACTTCTCATCCCCAGGCACTAAACATATTGCCTCAGATGCCTGGGCAGTGCTGCTTTCTTGCCCTTCCCCCATCCCCAGAGTGTTCTTTGGGTGTCTCATTAGCCTTGTATAGTATATGAATCCAGACAAATACAGACTGGCCTAGATTTGATTCCCATATATCTAAGACCCCTTTTTTCTGTATATTTTCTAACTAGGCTACATTTACAATATAAATGTATTTCAAATCTCTTGGTTTTTATGCAACAATCAATTTGACTAATTTTTTATTATTATAATGCATTAAGATGAAAATTACTTTGTAAATGGACTTTCTAGAAGAAAAATAAAAAGAAACTGCAAATCCATCAATTATCAAATTGATTTCCTACACTGAGTGGAGATACAGCATTATTTGTAGTGTTGGAAGAGATCAAAGGCTAGTGAAGAGATTGGTGTACCAACAAATAATTACAATACAATGTGATAACAAAAGGTGCTTCAAAGTTGGGAGAGGAGTGTTAGGGAAAGCTCCCAGATTGAGCTAAATCTTGAAAGGCTTCAGATGAGCATAAAGCAGAACAGCCAGGTAGAGGGAAGGACACAGGCAAGACTTGAAGTCAAGAGAGAAATTACCTGTTGGAGAGAAGCAAGTTACTTTTGAGTGGGTGAAGCCAAGGAGAGTGACAGAAAATGAGGCTGAACAGGTAAGCAGGAGCCAAACCTTGAAGGATCCTGTACATCATGCAGAAAAGAGCAGACTTCATCCAAGGGATGGGGAACGATTGAAGGATTTTGAGGAGTAACATGACTAGGTTCTCATTTGAGTGAAGAAAAGACTGTGACCCTTGAAGCAGGAAGACGAGTTAGCAGG